TATCTGGCCACCCTCCACCCCCAGAGGCTTTAAGCCTGCTGTGGTCAGGTGTCCTGTCTGTTTTGTCCACGACGAGGCTCAGTACGTGTTCCAGAAGGAGAGGGGACACAGAGTTTACGTGCGTGCCCGTGCAATAAATACACAGAGGCATGGGCCTATGGGCCTCCCAGGTGTCTCAGGGGTAGAGAACCTGCCCGCCAGTGCAGGAGCTGTGGGCTTGATCCCTGGGTCAGGAAGAGCCCCTGGAGGAAGAAATGGCAACCTACTCTAGTATTCTTGCTTGGAAATTTCCATCGACGGGGCAGCCTGGCGGGCTCCAGTCCCTGGGGTAACAAAGAGTCGGACACGACTGAACACAGCACACGCAAAACGGACCTACACCTAGAACAGGCAACGTAGTAGGCAAGCCGTGTAACTACGGATAATAAAGAAAATCTCATTCTAAAAAGTCAGAGGAGTTCAGAAAAGAGATATGGTTTTCGTCTACCTCTTTATGAGGAAGCTGGGTGTCGTGTTTGTGGAGGTGGTGATTGATTATGAAGTCAGCTATGGACTTTACCACCAACCAGACTGTGAACTTGGCAAGTACGGGGACCCTGCCAGGTCTTAGCCATTCCCCGTCTCTTCCTTCCTAACGGACCCCCAAATGTGTTTGGGTATCTGTCTTTCTCCAACAGATCCTGAGGATGCAGTGACTCACCCCTAGCGCTTGGAGAACATCCTGTTTCCATCTATGTTTCCTTAATGCTACTGAGCGTATATTAATGAGTGCATTTGGCATTCAGGTGTCTTTGAATGCTCAAATCTTTTGCCTATTTTTTTAATGGAGTTGTTTGCCTTTTTATTGCTGAGTTGGAAGAGCTCTTTGTATATCCTTGATACAAGTCCTTCCCGAGATAATATGTATAATAAATATTTTCTCCTGGTCTGTGGCTTGCCTTTTTTTAAATATAGTGTCTTTCAAAGAGTAAAAAAAAGAAAAGAGAGGGATGGGCTAGGAGAGGGATTGGGGAAGGGAAAGAAGGATGGGCTTCAGGAAGCAAGAGGGTCCCCACCCAGATTCCTCTCCTTGCCCTCAGCCAACCAGTGAGTTCAGAAACACTTGGGACAAATACCACAGATATCCCTCATATGTGGAATCTAAAATATGATACAAGTGATCTGATCTGCAAAACAGAAACAGACTCACAGGCATAGAAAATAAATTTATGGTTACTGATAGGGAAAGGATGTGGAGGAGGGTTAAATTAGGAACTTGGGATTAGCACGTGCAAACTACTATATACGAAACAAAAAACAAAATCCTATTGTACACCATGGGGAATTATATTCAATATCTTGTAATAAACCATAATGAAAAAGAATATGAAAAAGTATACATATGTATATAGACAGCCTTCCTGGTAGCTCAGCTGATAAAGAATCTCTGCAATGCAGGAAACCTGGGTTAGATCCCTGGGTCGGGAAGATCCCTTGGAGAGGGAAATGGCAACCCACTCCAGTGTTCTTGCCTGGAGAATCCCATGGACAGAGGAGCCTGGTGGGCTACGGTCCACGGGGTCATAGAGTTGGACACAGCTGAAGGACTAACAGTGTTATTTATTATTGGTCAGTGGGGCCTGCCACTAGATTTTGTAGTTTTTGTAAGTGGAGAGGTTAATTTTGAGGGGAGAGATGGGGAAGAACTTCTGTAAGTAATATCACCCCATAGCCAGTTGATTGCAGGTGCTTAGAAGTCAAAACAGCTTGAAGCCCTCAATTCTCTTTGCAATGTGAGGGGTTTATGGACCCCCAAACCCCACAGCTAAATAGAAGTGTCAGAAGTCATCACAGACCAGGTGTTTTGAGTTGGTCACGGGAGGCAGCCTTCCAATAACAGCTATTGTGAGAATGCTTATTAAATTGGGCTTAGTTAAAGGGTATTCAACAACTAAAGAAATTACACAGTGAAATGCCAGCCATTTCCATACTATACTAAATGATGCCTGGAGGTCTCCATCTTTTTTTTTTTTTAATTGGACTGTAGTTGGCTTACTAGGTTGTGTAGTTTTGGGTGTACAGCAAAGTGACTCAGCTATACATATACCTATATCCACTGTTTTTTGTTTTTTTTAGATTCTTGTCCCATATAGGTCATTACAGAATAGTGGGTAGAGGTCCTTGTTGATTGTCTACTTTATATATGGTGTATATATGTTATATACTATATATATTTACACACCAGTGTATACATGTTAGTCCCAATCTCCTAGTTTATCCCTCCCTCCCTTTCCTCTCTGGTAACCATAGATTTGTTTTCTACATCTGTGACTCTGTTTTGTAATAAGTTTGTTGGTATCCTTTTTTTATTTCACATATAACTGATATCATATGATATATGTCTTTCTCTGTCTGACTTACTTCGCTTATTATGATCACCTCTAGGTCCAAGTGCTGAAAATGGCATTCTCTTGTTCTTTTTTATGGCTGAGTAGTATTCCACTGCACATCTGTAACACATGTTCTCTATCTACTCCTCTGTCTGGTGGCCCTTGCCTTAACCTGAGACTTTACAAGCTGAAGTGTACATCCTTAGTGAAACAGCCCACACGAGGCCCATGTATTATCACCTGAAGAAAAATAACTTCTGCTGTTTTATAAAGACGGGGCAGAGAGTCTCTTACTGGGAAGAGTAGGAACCAGCGTGTGTCTCACTCTGACTCTTTCCTTCAAAACGGCATGTATTTCTGGGCTGGGCATCAGGAAGGTCACTGTTTGTGGGTCGCTGCAGACTTACTTGTGGTGGGCGGGCTCATGCCCTCTCCCAGAGATGTCCCATCCTGGACACCCCTGGTAGTACAGTGGATAGGAATCTTCCCGCCAATGGGGAGGACACAGGTTCAATTCCTGGTCCAGGAAGATCCCACTTACTTAGAAGTAACTAAGCCTGTGCACCCCAACGACCAAGCCCGTGCTCTGCAACAAGAGTAGCCACCACAATTCAAAGTCCATGCACCCCAACTAGAGAGTGGCCCCCACTTGCCACAACTAGAGAAAGCCCACACGCAATACATACGCAAATAACAGTAACAGGGATTTCTCCTTCTAATGCCTGAAACCCGCGCGTATGTTAAGTCACAATGCAAAGCGGGGTTAAGGGTGCAGGTAGAATAAGTTTGCTGATCGGCTGACCTTGCAATGGTGCGATGACCTGGGTGGGCCTGGTGTGATCACAAGGGTCCGTTTAACATAAGAGGGAGGGCAGTGAGCCTGAGAGGCAGAGAGATGGCAAGATGAGATGGACTTGACCAGACACTGTGGGTTCTGAAGATGGACAGAGAGTGTGAGCCGAGGCCCTGGGCAGCCTCTGGAAGCTGGGGGAGGCCAGAAAACAGGCTCCCCCTCACGGCCCTGGAAAGGCCTGCAGCCCCGTTGGCGCCTTGATTTTCAGTCTGGGGAGAGCCGTGCTAGACCTCTGACCTACAGAACTGCAAGAGAGCGAGTGTGTCTTTTGGGAAGCGGCCGGGTCGTGGTCACTGGTTACAGCAGCGGTAGGCACTCCCGCAGAGCTGCTCTCTGCATGTGTCCGGGTCTCCCTCCCATCCAGACCCCCACAGCTCCGCTTCTCCCTACTGTGGCCACTTTGTGAGTCACTCATTAAGTGGTTCTCAATGGGGGCCATCTGGCCACAGCTAGAGATATTTTGGATGCATGATTGAGTGAAAGTTGCTTTGTCGTGTCTGATTCTTTGCGACCCCGAATTCTCCAGGCCACAATACTGGGGTGGGTAGCCTTTCCCTTCTGCAGGGGATCTTCCCAACGCAGGGATGGAACCCCGGTCTCCTGCATTGCAGGCAGATTCTTTGCATCTGAGCCACCAGAGATATTTTGTCACACTTGGGAGCTGGGAGTTTGCTACTGGCATCTCTAGAGGGTAGAAGCCTGAGATGCGGCTAAACACCCTGTAACGAACAGGACAACGCCCCCCGCCACCCACCAAAGAATTATCCAGCCCCAAATGCCAATAGCATCACTCCTGGAAAACCTCACTCAACACACACATCAGCTATACACAGAATAGACGGGCTTGGGGGAAAGGGGCCTACCTTCACCCCCTTCCTTCATCCCTCCCCCTGCCTTTTTGAGTGGGTGGGGAGGTGGGGCAAGAATGTTGTCTTGCTTTGTTTACGCCATGCATTCCCAAGTGGGTAAGGTAATAGTGCCTCCAAGGAGATGAAAACTGGTTTTTGAGGGGCAAAAAAGATACAAATATTACAATGGTCTGTGGCCCTCTGAAACTCAAGCCCACGTGACAAAATCTTATTCCTTGGTATTTCATTTTTTGCATTACAGACAATTTAAATGATATTTAGCTTTTTCCCCTTAGGTGAGTGACAATGAAAAGAAATGTTGAGAAACATTGCCTTCCACTGAAGTGTCGGTCTTCTCCAGCAATGTTTTTTTCTTCTGACCTTTTGTTTTTTTGTTAGGTTCAAGGGAAAAGTAGCCATAAGCTTTTAGAGTAGTTGCCCTATTGTGTAGCAAAGAACATGATTAAATGTTTTTGCAAGCTAGAAAGTTGTTTAAAATATGTATGCTTGTGGATTTTTAAAAAATGGACATAAAGATATACAAACATGCCGTTCAAATTCTAACATCTAATTTAAGATGTTTTCTCCTGTTTTTTCACCTCTTCTTCTAGGACAGGTCATTAATTTGAAGAAGGAAAATCTAGTAGAATGCCGCAGTAATGAATATAATCACAAATACTGGACATTCTAAAATAGAATATTTTCAGTTTCACACCACAAAATACTCTTGTTTTCTATTAAGAATACTTCAAAATTTACCTATTTATATATTATTTATTAACACGCTTAAGGAAGGTTTCCTTCTTTTTTTTTTTTTTTCAGCGACATCAGTAGTTGAATGGACGGAGGTTAAGAGAGGATTCTAAAGTTAGCTCAATCTCCCGCCCCGGTTGCTGGCCCGTCTGCTCGCTGAGGCCCCGCGCTGAGACCATGTACTGGCGCCGCACACCGCTGGTGGGGACTCGGCTCGTCCAGGTCGGGAGCAGCTCAGCGGGCCGGCTTGAGGAGCCAGTGGGAATTTGGGGCTCCGGGATGGGGAACAGCACATCGTCATCTTTGGGAAACGCAGCAACTGCTCCTGTGAATCAGATCCAAGAAACCATTTCTAATAATTGTGTGGTGATTTTCTCCAAAACATCCTGTTCTTACTGTACGATGGCAAAAAACTTCTCCATGACATGAATGTTAACTATAAAGTGGTGGCATTGGACATGCTTGAATACGGAAGTCAGTTTCAAGACGCTCTTCACAAAATGACTGGTGAAAGAACTGTACCACGAATATTTGTCAATGGAACTTTTATTGGAGGTGCAACTGACACTCTAGGCTTCACAAAGAAGGGAAATTGCTTCCACTAGTTCACCAGTGTCATTTTAAAAAAGTAAGAGGGAAGGACTTTAGTGATGTAAGTGCATACAACTTTGCTAGTAATATGTCACTATATATTTAAAATGATGTTGCCTGATAATGCCTTTTAAATATTTGAAGGTGTTTTAAATATATGAATTATCTTCATGAAAAGGTTGTAAAAATAATGAACAATAAATCACTGTGGAAACAAAAATAAACAAACAAAGTTAGCTCAAGATAAGGCAAAGTAATGACCAGAACTTTATATTAGCCCAGAAGAAATGCGGAGGGTTTGTATTTGTGTATGTGCAATAAGGAAGCACAAATCCGACTCCATATTGGATCCATTTCTTTTACTTAACCTTTCCATTGCTTTTGTTACAAAAGGGATGTGACTATAAACTTTAATTATACACAGAGACCTATGTCTGGGAATCCCGCCTCCCGGGTCATGAGCATTAAGCTAGAATACCTTTGTTTAACTCACAGGAAACATCCTAACCAGGCCCATCTGTGAATGACTGCAGGGCGGAAAAATTGAACACGTTCCCTCTAGAGGCTGATGGAACTGGGAAATGTTTGACTTGACGCCCTTCCCTTTTAGTATAGAAGGACCCTGAATTCTAACTCAGGAAGGACGGGTCTTTGGGGGCATGAGCCCACCATCTTCCGTCAGCTGGCTTTCCGAATAAAGTCACTACCTCTCAGGGACCTCCCTGGTGGCCCAGTGGCTAAGACTCCGAGCTCCCGATGAAGGGGGCCAGGGTTCGATCCCTGGTCAGGGAACCAGACCCCACATGCTGCAACTAAGAGTTTGCATGCCACAACCAAAGACCCTGCATGTTGCAATGACGATCAAAGATTCCGAGTGCCACAAGTAAGACTGCACAGTCAAAAAAATAATCAAAAATAAAGACACATGTAAGTCGCTCTTCCTTGCCCCAAAAATTTATCTCTCAATCAGGCCTGTCGTGCAGCGAGCAGTGTATCATCTGCGCTTTCTTCCTGCCACATTCAAGTGCAGAAACCTTTTTTTCAGGAAGAGAAATGAAACATCTTTGTGTCTTTCCTCACCTCCAGACAAGCCACTCCAACAGACCAAAAGCAAACAGCAAGCGTAATTGCATCCTTAACATTTTGTCCTGGGTCTGCAGTGAGAAGGAAGCCTGCCCCTTGGGCAGCTGTGGCCCGCACAGTCCTTCACAAGTGCGGAATGACACTTGTAATACTGATTCTCTGAATGATTGAAGGATCACTCGAGTTGTTCCAATGATGTCATTCTGCTGCAGTTCCTCTGGCTATTTGGCTTTCATACTGCAAATGTGTTAAAAATTTAGGTCCCAGCTTGAACTTTTATTTATGCTGAGGTCAGCCGTGTGGGTTGCCTCATTATACAGAGCCTGCAGGGGCGACCCTTCTGGGCAGGCAGCCAGCACTCTCCAGTCAGCAGGAACAATTTCAGCTCAATTTACAAAGCAAAAGAGAGGGATCCGGTTGATCTATAAAGACCAACTCTGCAAGAATTAGTGCAAAATGGTGATCAGTCACAGTCTGTCTTCCTGAGAGAATAAAACACTCTTCAGAGATTGTATCCCTCTTCTTTCAATGAAAGAATCCACTCTTATTCTCTTATTAAAAAAAAAAAAACAAAATTCAGACTATCAGAAGACTTATTATCTAATGTTGATAGATTCGGTAGATAAAATTTAATAAAAGATTGCTTAAGGGATGTATGTAATAAGTGATTTCTATGTCCTGGGGAGACTGTAAGGTGAAACAGTGCTGACTGCCCCCAAGGACCACATCCAGTCTCATTCATTCACTTTTTCTTTTGACCCTTGAAAGGTGATCTGAGATTTCTAGGTCCTTTAGGTTGTTTTTGCAGGTTATGCAAGCACAGATGAACTGGGTGAAGTAAGCATTCTAGTAGTGGAATTCTGCTTCTTGGTTGCTACCGAAGACTTTGCATCCACCAGAATGTAGGCTCAAATGAGCCGTGAGCATTGCTTTTCCCGTCCTCATCTTACTGCAGTGATGAAGCATCTGTGTCTGGTGTCTGTATTTGTTCTCTGTTGCTTCTGTAACAAGGAACCACAATGCAGTTCATAACACAACACAAATTTATGATCTTCCAGTTTCAGAGGTCAGAAGTCCAAAGAGGGTCTTGAGAGGTGAAAATCCAGGTATTGACAAGGCTGTGTTTCTTTCCAGAGCATCTAGGGGAAGACTTTTTTTGTCCTTTCCAGCTTCCAGAGATTGCCCCCTTCCTCGTTGGTGGTTCGCTTCCATCTTCAAAGCCAGCAATGGCCAGCCAGGTCTTTCTCAGCCTGCCCCATCATACACTGAATTTCTGCCCAGTAATTCCTCATTTAAAGAACCTTGGTGATTACACTGGCCCACCTGCATAACCCAGGCTAACCTCTTAGGTTTAAGGTCAGCTGATGTGCAACTTGAATGCCATCTGCAAGCTTAATCCCTGCTATCGTGAGTGTAAGATGCTCAGAGTTTCCAGGGAATTATGGCACGGTGGTGCATGCCTTTGGGTGCGTTGCTCTGCTTGCCGCCGTGTCTTTGACTGTCAGGCAGTAATGAAACCATTTAAACTTCAACCAGATTGCTCTCTCAGTGCTCAGTAAAGCTCTCCCTTCTTTCTCGTTTAGACACTCTGCACAGACTTCACCTTCCCAGATCGCGTGTTCCTTTCTCCCGTCTCTGTTCACGCTCTAGGTCCCCTCCTGAACTGCCTGCCCCCACCATCTGAATTTCTCCTCATCCTTCAATCACAAGACACCTCTTCAGTGATGGCATTTCTGACTCTTCCATGACATTTGTTCCTTCTTCCATTACAGGTCTTTCTTTACACCATTCGTCTATTCACAAGTATTTATTAAGAAAAAAAATGTATTGAGGAATACACATGTGTCAGAAGAATGAAATGCACCAGTGAACAAGATGGATAAGTCCCTGCTCCCCTGTATTCCATATTTTAGTAGTGGAGATAATACACAGGTACATAAGAGAAACAGTTTCAGGCAGTGGCAAGAATTGCGCAGCAAGGGTGGAATTAAATAGAAATCGGGCCTTTCTCCAGAAGGGAAGGACGTTGAGATACAATGTGGAGGACAGGAGTCCGCTTATGATGATCTGAGGGAAAAGTATTCCAGGCAGAAGGAAGAGCACATGTAAATGTCCTGAGCTGGGAATGAGCTTGGGAGGTTGGCGATGAGGAAAGGAGGCCAGGGAAGCGGGAAGCAGAGAGAGCGGAAGGTGAGTTATTTTATTTTTATTTTTAACATTTTGGCCATGCTGCATGGCCTATGGGATCTTAGTTTCCTGACCAGGGATCAAACCCTTGCCTCCTGCAGTGGAAGCTAGGAGTCTTAACCACTGGACTGCCAGGGAATTCCCTAGAGTTTTAAAAAATAGAAACCAATAGGCTACAAAAAAAACTCATAATGACTATAAAATAAAACTGACAATGGTTAAAACTAAACATGATAAGATTTGTTGTTGACTCAAAAATAACAGAATTAAATCTTGGCAAAATGAAAATCTGCAAAACTTGGTTAGGCAGATGGACAAAATAAGTCATTGACAGAAATCTTAATAGTTGAAACTCTGATTGGGGAAAAAAATAATCAATGAATCAACTCTTTTAAGATTTTGAGGGAGAAATTTGATTTTTATGAAAAGAGTTCCAGCAAACAAAAGTGAAAATGGGAACAATTTGAAATAGCTTAACTTCACCATACCCAAAACTGGTCAATTATTGATTAGTTCAGCAATAAATTATTCAAATCAAGTTGGCCTAATGGATTTGTCCAGTTAATACTTTCCTGCTGAAAATTTATCAATGTCAGGATAATTCTGACTAAAATGTATTCATAAGCTTGTCAAAGAATCAACTCTCTATGGGTTTAAAATGACTGCCATTAAAATATCTTATGGAATCGTGCTGGGTGAAGTGAGTCACCCAGAGAAGAATGTCACTCCTATGTGGAATCTAAAATAAATGATACGAATGAACTTATTTACAGAACAGGGACAGACTCATAGACATGCAGACAAACTTATGGTCCCAAAGGAGAGGGGGCAAGGATGGAGGGATGACTTGGGAGACTGGGGTGGACACAGACACCGCTGTATGTAGATGCTGCGGTCACTCAGCTAGAGCCAGACATCCTGGGATGCAAAGTCAAGTGGGCCTTCGGAAGCATCACTGCGAACAGGGCTGATGGAGGTGATGGAATTCCAGTTGAGCTGTTTCAAGTCCTAAAAGACGATGCTGTGAAAGTGCTGCACTCAATATGCCAGCAAATTTGGAAAACTCAGCAGTGCCTACAGGACTGGAAAAGGTCAGTTTTCATTCCAATCCCAAAGAAAGGCAATTCCAAAGAATGCTCAAACTACCGCACAATTGCACTCATCTCACACGCTAGTAAAGTAATGTTCAAAATTCTCCAAGCCAGGCTTCAACAGTACATGAACCGTGAACTTCCAGAGGTTCAAGCTGGACTAAGAAAAGGCAGAGGAACCAGAGATCAAATTACAACATCCACTGGATCCTAGAAAAAGCAAGAACATTCCAGGAAAACATCTGCTTTATTGACTACACCGAAGTCTTTGACTGTGTGGATCGCAACAAACTGTGGAAAATTCTTCAAGAGATGGGAATACCAGACCACCTGACCTGCCTCCTGAGAAACTTGTATGCAGGTCAGGAAGCAACAGGTAGAACTGGACATGGAACAACAGACTGGTTCCAAATCAGGAAAGAAGTACATCAAGGCTGTATATTGTCACCCTGATTATTTAACTTATATGCAGAGCAC